CATTCAGAAAAAGGGATTCAGGTAATTAAAAAACAACCTCTTAATTTAGTTGAGTTTGGTTTCCTTTTACTTAGTAAATTACTACTCTCTTTTAAATAATGGTAAAAATTACAGAGTTAAGCCAAATGTTTGAAGATTGAGATATCTTACTCTTCAGTGTTTGTATAGTCACAGTGATGAAAACATTTTTATGGCTTCAGTGATTATTATGAAAATGATGGCTGTCATTTCTGGGGGGCGGGGTCTTATCTATACTGTGCAATATGATAATTTTATTACATACATTATTTTTAATCCATACATTAACCTTACAGGGTTGTCATTACTCTTTTAGAGATCACCAAACTGAGACTCAATTTAAGTTACTCTCCCCAAACCACAGGATTTGTGAACAACATGGTTGAGATTTGAGTCTATGTCTGACTTCAAAATATTGATACTTCCAGTTCTTTTTTTTTTTTTTACTTCCAGTTCTATTGAAAACTTTTTTTCCTTCTAGGTTTTATAGTCAACTTTTTGAAATAAAACTCTTTTTTTTTTCATGAATATATTTTTGTGATGACATATTCAGGTAGCCATTTTTGGGGAAATTTCATTTAGTTCTTTTGAACAGCTCAGAGTTAGCGCTCTCTCTAAATATGTGTTTCTAATAAGCAAAATCTTCTCTAACATGAAATGTTCCATTTTCTAGCCACGTAGACAAAGCTTGTCTACAGAATGCTTCACAGATATGACTCTACAATAGATATACCACATGGCTCTTCAGAAAATTATGTATTCTAAACGTGAAGTGTCTGACTATTGTATACATATGTATCAAATAATTGTATTAGAAAAATTGAACAAGAATCCTTCTAAGATATTTTCAGTGACTGAAGATTTTCCTGTAATGTAAAAAGTGCCACATATAAAGTTCAAATGTCATCCATTATCAACCATTCTTCTACTATGTATTCATTCTACATTTTAATGGATTTATATCTTTAAATTGTTTTTCTCTTGAAAAAAAAAATGCATTATACTTTGGGATTCTTAAACTGTTGCTAAGAATGCTTTTCCCCTTCCTGTAGGAATGGGAACTTCTCTTTCCCTCAACTTCTTTGCCTGTTGGTCAGTAGAAGATGAAGAATCAGCTGGTTCTAAACTACTGATGGTGACTTTTGGGTTTTAGGTCAGGGACTTGTGCTCTGAAAAGCTTGCAGTGGGAGTGGAGTCTGGTCAGATTTTAAACCAATCAGGAAAAAGGGTTAAATCCCCGCTATGGTCTGTAAGAATGGCCCTCTGAACCTGTGGTGGCCACGGGTCCCACTCTGCTTGCTTTCTTTCCTGCCTCAATCTTTGATTTTTGCTAGATATTCCTAAGCTACCAAAGAAGACAACAGAGAAGAACCACCACATGTTGATCTGAATTTAAGCCCCTTTTTTTAAAGCTTCTGATAGCATAATCAGAACTGTGAGGACAAGTCTTGAATGACTGCTTGGTGCGTAAGTCAGCTTGGGAGGAGAGGAGGCTCTCCCTGCAGCAGGGGTGCGGGGTGGAGAGGTGGGCGTCTGATGTGACAGCAGGACTGGAAGAGGGAGCTTCCTGATGCTCTCACGTTAGCCAGACTGCCCATGGTGTTCGGTGTGCAAGTGCCGCTTACAGTGTCCTTTTTCATGTTTGAAAGTGCTTGAGGAAGGGAGGTAAATGAACCGTGAGAGTGAAAGAGTAAAATAAATGATTAGAAGGAAAGATAATTAGGATCTATGAAAGCACATGATTTTTTGCCAAATTGCCCTGCACAGAGGTTATACCAGTGTATATTCCTACTAACAGTGTATATTCATTTTCCCACATCTTCTTCCTAACAGCTTGTTAAAACTTTAAAACATCTTTGCCTGATAGATTAAAAAGGGATCTTATTGTGTTTTTCTTTTTCATTTTTATTGAGTGAAGTAAATAAGTTTTATTATGTTTTTATGATTCTTTCATGTCTTTCTGTTATTATTCTGCTTATGCTTTTTGCCTGTTTATCTTTTGGGTTGTTGGATTTTGAAGATTTATAGGCACCTTTTATATATATATTAAAGAAATTAACCCATTGTGATAGGTTCCAAATATTTTTACTTAATTAATTACATTTGACTTTATTCATAATTAAAGACTTTTTTTGGTTAGGAAAGATTTTTAAATTTGTATGTAGTAAAATATATCAGTCTTTTGTGGTTTTAAGGCTTTTTAAAGTTATATTTTGAAAGGACTTCCTTACAGTGAAGTGATCAAAAGATTTCTCAGATTTTCTCTTTTGGTTTTATCTTTACATTTAAATCTTTGATCCATTGGGAACTAATTTCAGTGGATGAAATGAGGAAGGGGTTAAATTTAATTCCATCTTCTCCCTATTTCTTTGGAATGACTAAGGTGGTCAGTAGATTAAAACTATATAGTTTTTGGAGCAACAAAATTAAAATAGTAACATGTAGTATAAGTTATAGTTTCGTGGAAAGGAAAGGTACCTTATAAACAAAGTCAGCTGCATGGTTCATTTCCTTTATTTTCAAATATGAAAATTCAAGGGTATCCCAGTAGATGCCTTTTAAACTTTTATCTGGTCAGATTTAGTGCAAAACCAGGCTTGTTAGTAAAAGGCAGATACCCATACCAGGTTGGTACGAGCATGGCTGTTTTTTAAGTAACAGTTGTGCTATTGCTAGTTTTGGAGATGCTGTACTTTGCACTCATTTCCCAGCGAGTCATTTTACTGCTCCTCTAAGCGTCTTTATTTTAAGTTATGTGTAAAAATGTTGCATGCTTCTGTTTCTGTAATTGTCAGCACCATTCTATTTATGACACTTACTTTTTTTTTTCCTTTACAAAGCCATCGACAGGCCCAGCTGTTGTGTTCCACTTTGGATACCTGAGCAAAGGTGTAGATGGAAGTTATTATTGAAGGGAAGGAAAAATGGGTGTTATATTAAAAGGCATGAAGATGGGCAAGTCCCTAGACCTTGCTTATCTTCTCTGTATGTTGTGATCCTCCTTAACTCTGAGATATATAACTGTGCCTCTCATTGTGCTGGGTCCAGAGCCCTTTCTAATTTTATGTTTACCTTTCTTAAGTCAGAGATAGAACTTCTAAGTTTAATTAGGTCACATTTGTTTTTTTTTGTTTCCATTACTCTAGAAGGTGAATTTAAAAAGATATCAGAAAGTGTTCTGTGTTTTCCTCTAAAGGTTTTATAGTGTCCAGTCTTACATTTAGGTCCTTAATCCATTTTGAGCTTATTTTTGTATACTGTGTTAGAGAATGTTTTACCAGCACCACTTATTGAAGAGACTGTCTTTTCTCCATTGTATGTACTTATCTCCTTTAAGGAGAAAACCTATATGTCTCTGATATTCTTGTTTCCTCCTCTTATGGAGGAAATCATAAACAAATGAAAAGACAGCTTACAGAATGGGAGAAAATGTTTGCAAATAATGCAACTGACAAGGGATTAATTTATAAAATACACAAGTAGCTCATACAGCTCAATATTAAAAAAAAAAACCCAATAAAAAAATGGGCAGAAGACCTAACTAGATATTTCTGCAAAGAAGACATGTAGATGGCCAACAGGCACGTGAAAAAATGCCTGACATCACTAATTAATTATTAGAGAAATGCAAATCCAAACTATAATGAGGTAGGTATCACTTCACTCTGGTCAGAATGGCCATCATCAAAAAGTCTACAAATAATAAATGTTGGAGAGGGTGTGGAGAAAAAGGAATCATCCTGCCTGGTTGGTGGGATTGTAAATTGGTACAGCTACTATGGAGAACAGTCTGGAAGTTCCTTAAAAGACTTCAAGTATAGTTTCTGTATGATCCTGTAGTGCCACTCCTGGGCATATATCTGGAGAAAACTATAATTAAAAAAGATACATGCACCGCATTGTTCATAGCACTGTTTACAATAGCCAAGACATGGAAGCAATCAGAATGTCCATTGATTGATGAATGGATAAAGAAGATGTGGTACATATATATAATGGAATATTACTCAGCTTAAGTTAAAAGAAGTAATGCCATTTGCAGCAACGTGGATGGACCTAGAGATGATCATACAGAATGACGGAAGTCAGACAGAGACAAATGTCATATGGTATTGCTTATATCTAAAAAAAGAAATACAAGTGGGCTTATTTACAAAATTGAAGTAGACCCACAGACTTAGAAAAAAACTTTATAATTACCAAAGGAGAAAAACAGGGGGGGAGGGATAAATTAGGAGGTTGAGATTAACATATACACTCTACTATATAAAATAGATAACCAACACCTACTGTATAGCAGAGGGAACTATTCTCAATAATTTTGTAATAGCCTATAAGGGAAAAGAGTTTGAAAAAGAACATGCAGACACACACACACACACACATTTGTATAACTGAATCACTGTGCTATACACCTGAAACTAACAGGACATTGTAAATCAGCTGTATTTCAATTTAAGGGGAACGTGAATAGACTTTGCATCCTACTGTTGTGTGAAAATTGTATAAATTTTAATTATGTTGAATTGGTTCACAGTGCTTTTCAGGTCTACTGTATCTAATAAAAGTTAATAAAGTCTGAGGTAGAAAAAGGATATAGATAAGAAAAGTCTGAATCTTGAAAATTTCTAATTTGAACTTAATAGCTAGAAACCTTGAGAAGAGAGAAACAATTATGAAGTGACTAGGAATTGGTGAAAACTCCCGTGCGTTTGGGTTGTGTGTTTGGCTCTGTGGGTCACGCAGCCTGCAGCAGTGGGAGGGGTCCGGTGTCCGGGCGTAGCGCTCTGACAGTCTGAAGGTGCTTCGTGGGACTTCCTGCCTTTGCCTCCGCTGTGATTAGCCTTGCGCGCGACAGCCTGTGGCCCGGCGTGACCACACTGTTACTGGCGCCGGCCGCACACCTCTGTGCGCATCAGTCGAGCTCAACAGCCTGGACCCTGCTTTGTTCTCGCCCATGCCTTGAGGTTTAAACTTCTAAGACGCACGATGGAGACCGAAAGTGAGGGTGGCACATCGGGAGATGACAGTGTGTTTTGGCTGGATTCGGAAGTTATAACCCAGGAGACTGGCAGTGAAGAGGGAGAAGGGGAAGAGCATTTCAGGTAAATACGGAATTCACAGTCCGTTCTTTCTCTCTGTCTCACCTTTGACCCTCTCTTCACCTCCCTCACCTGTGCTCCCCAGCCCTCCCGTCCTTTTTGCTTTAACCTCCTTTCAGTAAGGTTTCTTTTCTCTGGGGGAAGATTTGGAGCTGAAGAGGACAGGTTTCTAGTTGTGTATATAGCATTCTTCATTCCACAACTTGCCCTGAGCTTGTAAAAGGCATTTTAAATGACTTGTTAGAACACCAGGAGGAGAAGGTGTTAGACAGGTTTTGTAGTAGCATTTCAGGAATTTCAGGTAGAGACTCATAATGAACTATTACCCCTTCCTGTATCTGATTTGCACCTGACAGAAGTGACTTGGATCTGAATCTTAAGAGATTTTTCTTCCTCTTTTTCCTGGGAATATGTTCGTGTGTGTGTGTGTGTGTGTGTGTGTGTGTCTGTTACTGTGGCTGTTTTTGTTCCCTTATTCTTGTGTATGAAATATTTTGATTATGTCCAGATTAGTTATTTCATGGATCAAAGCCTCTGACCTTATATTTCACTTACCTTATAGCTCTCCTTGTCCCACCTGCCCCTGGTATGATCTCTAATTGTATCTTCATAAATGAAGTGTTTGGGAAGGCCACCTGATTAAGCAGCTCTCCAAGTTCAGTGCATTAGTGAAGAAAGAGGTCTCACCCTCCTTGTACATACAGTACCATTTGTGTATTAATTTTTTGTGTGTGTGCTGTTATAAATTTTAGGAGGCCTTATTCTGGCTTTTCTTTTTCAACAGGTGTAACAAATTAATTCTTTTGGAGATACTAAAAAAAAAAAAAACCTCGAAGAAGTTTGTACTACATACTATCACTGCCACCCACATGGGCAATTAAAACACCTTTTACAATTTTATCTATGGGTAGTTGGGTAGGAGACCGGATCATTATTTTCATCAGATCTTGTCTTTAGTGTTCTAAAAAGAGTCTTTCCTTTCTCAGTGGATTTCTTCATTCACAGATTTTACTTTTAAAGTCTAGGTCAAATGACAGGCGAGATTGACTATTGGGGCTTCCTGGTGGCCCATTCTGTAAAGAATTTGCCTGTAATGCGGGAGACCTGGGTTCTGACCCTGGGTAAATCCTCTGGAGAAAGTATTCTAGCCTGGAGAATTCCGTGGACAGAGGAGCCTGGGGGGCTACAGTCCATGAGGTTGCCAAGAGTCGGACGTGGCTGAACAATGCCTGACACTTCACATATATCACATTGAATGTTAGGAACTGTTGATAACCACTGATTAACAAATTTAGTGTGGGTTAAAATGAATAGGAAATATGTTTTAAATTTTAAAGAATAATTCACAGTGTTCAAAGTATGAAAGTATGAAAATGAACATTTCATTAGCATGTGAAATTCTTTTTTGTGTCAACTTTCACATTCTCTCTGTAGTTTTTATTTTAGCCTTTCTTACTGGCCTCAGCCACTTCTCTCCCAAGGTGTGCTGATGTTTTGCATCACATATTCCATAGTTTTAAATGTGATCTGTGTGTCATGAACAGTCAGTGGGAGTAAGGTATTTATTGTATGAGAACTGTTTGGCCTAGTGTTAAAGTCGTGGAAGTTATTTCGGCCTATTTGTCAAAGGAGGAGACAGCCTGGTCCTCGTTGTGATGGACTGGGTTCCAGGATCCTCCATTTACTTGTGAGGCAACAGGAGGCAGTCTGGGGTTTTCTTTTGACAGTTTATCTGGGTAGGCCTGAGTTTTTCTTCTCCTTAGGACCATGGGACCACATTTTCATTCCCAAGAAACTGAGTTAGGTGGTGCATTGTTTTAGGAAACCCTGACACCATAGGGCATTTGTCCTGTTGACAATATTATTTCATATCTGATTGTCATCATGACTCTCCCAAACCAAGTATGTCTTTGAGATTTGATCTTATTTTATTTATAAGGGTGACAGAGATCAAGGCAAGGCCATGTTTCATGTAGTGTTTCTCACCTATTCAGCAGTCAGACATGAGGAAATGTGCAGCAGAGTGCTTGCATAGTGTTCACCCTGATGTTCCAGCTGAGATGCCTTGCAGAAAAAATGTGTGTGGGTGTTGAAGGTGAGGGTTGGATAGTGGGAGTTGTAGCTGTAACCTTGGGAAAAGCAATGGTAAACTCAGTGTTGTGTGTGACAGTTGTTTTTGTAAAATCAGTTTAATAGTTAAAAAATACAGAAATGTTTTACCTGTTTCTTTAAAATCTGTGCTGATATACATTAACTAAAATGCTATTATGATTACAGTCTAATTTCCATGCATGCACACACTCAGAAAAAGGGCAGAAGATTGTGTACTATTCTTTTTCTCCGAATAACTTATGAATTAGATTTAAAATTCATTCTTTTTTTTTTTTTTACATTTTTTAAAAACTTTTAAAATTTTGTTTTGGGGTATAGCCAATTAACAAGTAGGTATTGTTATTTCCCATTTTCCAGATGAGGAAATTGTAGCTCAGACAGCCACATAAACCATATTGTCAGTATGTGTAGATAAGTGTAACTAATTTTGAAAGTAAAAGACTTCAGTTTGATAAAAAAAAATTTTTATATCTGCTGCTAAATGTTATTTTCTAGTAAATAACAACCTTTAAGAAGCTACAGCTTATTTCTCAGTTCTGAAATTCCTTCTTTGAGGAATTTTTGAGCACTAGTGATATATCAGTTATGTAGCCAACATAAAAGTGAAATAGTGCATGCAGCAATGTGACCTTTTAAAGATATGACCTGGAGGACACCTGGGAATTGTTACTGACTCACGATCATGAGAGGGTCTAGTTTTTTGGCATTTGAGGGCAGAAAGGTTTATCATATGACCTTGATTAGTGTTCTCTAGTATCACATTATTGTAGATACATAGCCTAGTATGTATGACAAACAATGACATAGAGTTTGAAACATTTACTGAGATGATATGTGTGTATAATTAAACCACATTTTTAGAACTTCTATACCTTTAAAAATCAGAGTCTACAGATGCCCAGATCTCAATCAGATCTTCACTTTTATCTCCATTATAAGACAGTTGTTTTTAAGAAGAGAAGCTTCTGACTCTAGTTAAGCTAGATAATTTGGCGTACATACTTTAATTTTTTTGAAATGTTTGTTGCTTTATAGCATCATAAAGCTAATAATAAATGGTTCATGCATTTGATTGGTTGGTTAGTTGGTTGCTTTATTCATTCTCTGCCTTATTTGAAATGAGGTAAAAGTTAGAAGATTTTGAATTAAAAGATTTTGCAGCAGTCCAAATAGGTAACAAGGAATATGTTAGTTCTTTTAGATCTTTCAGATCTAGATCTTCTTTCAGATCTAGGATGGCTATTTTATTTTATTTTATTTTTTAGGGTGGCTATTTTAATGGCTAAATTCCTCTGGAAACTCACAATTCTTTGCTTTTAATATGCTTACTGTTCTTTTGTCTTCTGTGGAAATTTCTCATTTTAGGAATCCCAGGATAGAGAGGTAGCAATAACAGCTTATCATTGACATATATATCAGTATCACACCCAGACCTATTTTAAACTCTGTGACTTTTCATAGTCATCACACCCTTAATAATCTGTTATGTACAATACCCACCCCCCAAAATGTGCATTTTGCGAAAAAACCAAAAGAGATATTTCTATTACTCTGTAACTTTGGATTTGTGATCTGGAGTATAATTTACTCCCTGAAATATTCTTTCAATATGAACTATAACTCACCCAGTCATCTCATCAGTGTCACATAAAGAGTAAATTTAATGGTAATCAGAGTCTGATATGAACATCGCTTAATCTCAGAAAATTTTGTTCAGTCTTGGAGTCTAGTCATTAGGCTGTCCTTTTTAATGGGTGAAATGAGTCTGTCTTAACCATGAAGCATGCTAGTACAAGACTTTCTTGGTATTTCACTAATTAAACTCTTTGGGATGGAATCCAGAGTGAACCTTTCTTACATCTGTCTGTATGAGTTTTTTTTTTTTTTTAATATACAAGAAGGGCCTGAAAGCACAGAAAATTATAAAACTATATCAGAGTTCCTAATTATTAAGTTGTGTACTTAAAGTTAAAAATTTTAAATCTTATTTCTCCTTAAGTTTTGGATTCAGCTTAAGCATTAAGCCCCCGCAAATAGTCAATTGCACATTCAAACTTAGTAATTAAAATTCCTTGAAACACTTAAAGCTCTGTTTATAAATGTAGTACAGTCAATATCCTTTAAAAATATATATAAAGTGACAAACCTGGGAAGACTGCAATCAGAACAAGGAAAGCCTTTCTAGATAGTTAATTTTAGAAGTTGCCTGTTACACTTTTACTTTCCATTAGTGATTAGCTTCCTTTCCACACGCTCATATTTTCAAATCAGTTTCTTTCACTCCCATGTGCTGTTTCCCCCTTCTTAGCTCTCTCTTTTCTTCCCTGTTTCCCTTCCTTTTAAGATAAGGTCTTTAGAGTACTTCTCTTAGTCCCCTAATCCCCAATGAGTCTTTTATCGCCATTTTGCCCCTGCTTATCTGGTGGCTCAGGTAATCCTTCCTCCTGCAATGCAGGCAAAGCAAGTTCGATCCCTGGGTCGGGAAGATCCGCTGAAGAAGGATATGGCAACCCACTCCAGTATTCTTGCCTGGGAAATCCCATGGACAGAGCAGCCTGTTGGGCTCTAGTCCACAGGGTAGCGAAGAGTCAGACATGACTTAGCGACGATACAACAAATTCTGTCCCCACTCCCAAGCCCAGTGTTTTACTGAAATGATTTTACTATGTTTTACCATTCAGTCAGATTTAGTTATATGTGTCATTGTTTCCTCTCCATTTTAATCATATTCCATCTTAATGTGTCTTTTCTGGTCCATTTGTTACTTAGTTGATATTTTCTTGAACCTTTTGTTCAGATAAGTTCTATGAGTGATGTACTCTGATTTCTTGCATATACTCACTGCTGTTTTTTTTTTTTCTTTTCCTTGGTAGCTAACTTATTCTTTCTGAATGCTTGTAAAATTTTCTTTTTATTCTTAGTTATGTGTATTTTGTTATTAAATCTTCAATTAGACCTCAGTGACTTTCAGTCTGTAGACTTAAGTGTTCATATTAGGAAAGATTTTTAGAATTTTATTATTAATTTAATTATTACCTCTTTTATCAGTAATAATTTTCTCCTCATGGAATCTGTTTATTGCGTATTTGATCTCCTTAGTGTTTCTTTCATGATGTATCTGTCATTGTTGTTTTTCAGTCGCTAAGTCATGTCTGTTTGGCACCCCATGGACTGAAGCACACCAGGCTTCCCTGTCCTTCACTATTTCCCTGAGTTTGCTCAAACTCATGTCCATTGAGTCGATGATGCCATCCAACCATCTCATCCTCTGTTGCCCCCTTCTCCTCCTGCCTTCCATCTTTCCCAGCATCAGGGACTTTTCCAGTGAGTCAGCTCTTTGCATCAGGTGACCAATTTATCTTCACATTTTGATTTTATGATTTGAGGTATTTCTTATACTTCTTCTTTAGGCCATTAATTTCATCTTTTTCTTTAATCTTTCAGATTCAGTTTGAGTGGAGAAGTAATTTTTAAGTGTCCTTGTTCTTATGTATCACTGACTTAATATTTATATAATAATGAATTTAGGTTATTGTCTTTCTGCTTTAACTTTGTAGCCTGTGTGCTAAGTATGCATGTTCTGTTTGTTCTGACTGAAAGAATCGTAGCTTTTTACTGCTCAGATCAATATTGCCCTTCTCTGTCTCCCCACCCCCACTTCGGATTTTCTCCAGTGGTCCCATGATGCTATATAGCTTCTGCTTTTCTTTTCTTAGGTGAACACACCCTTGTTAATAGCCCTAGTCCCTCTAATTGATTGTTAAATTTATTTACAGAGTAATTTTCCAGTTTTTATTAATTCCTTGGGGGCAAGTACCTCTTTTGTTGTTGGGAGAAGTGGGAGTATAGCCTCCTTGAACCTCTGTTATTCTCCACTGGTTTACCAGTCAGTGTGATCCCATTTGCTTCTTTGTCTTCCAGAAGTTGAAGATTTCTGGCCTGCTGATCCCACCCAGTGTTAATCTTTTAAGGATTTATTTTCCTTTTATTTGGCTTACTGCTTTTTCAGAGACTTAGAGAAGGAAAGCTCTATTTCTCAACGTATATGCAGTCTTGAATGGGAAGTTCACTGGTAGTTTTCTTCACGGCTTTCGAGGGAAAGCTTCTGAGGGGAGCATTCAGTGAGGCAGGATCTTGGTGTCTGCTACCCAGTCCAGTGGGTCTCCAGAGGTGAGAATTGCTTGTTTCAGGGTCCTCTTCAGGGAGGGGGATCTTCTAGTAGAAAGTGGCTCATCACATCTGGAATGCCTGCAATGTGTTAATACATTTCAGTTTTCCCATTTGCAAAACAGGGCTACTAACAGTATATCCAACAGTAACCAGTTAGAAGACATATTGGAAGAAAAGGTGCCATTTTTAAGAGCAACAACAAAGATGAAATGCTCAGAAATAAACTTACTAAGGAGCTCTTAAGATCTATGTGAAGAAAATTTAAAATATTGCTGAAGGACATAGAAGTTTGGAACAAAAGAAAAGATATATACCTTATTCATAACAAAATAGTCAATATCATAAAGATGTTAGTTTATTATAAAGTTAATGTGATAATAACAGTGCTTTTTTAAAAACCTAGGTAAATTGGTTTTGAAATAAATTGACCTTGACTAAATAATTGAGTCAAGAAACTTTGGGGAGAAGAACAAAGCAAGGCTAGGAAGAGGATTAGTGCAACCAGATATTATGGTATGAAGTCTCAGTGATTAAAACCTTGTGGTACTGGTATGAATAGAGGGCATAAGGGGGTGAAATGGAAAGCCTAGAAATTTGCCTTAATATATGGGAAGATATGGTAAAGATGGCCTCTCCAAAGCCAACGGGAACATTGTGTACTAACCATTGAATTCTTTGGGGGGGAGAACTGAATATGCATCTGTGAAAAATAAGGAAAATTGGAGACCTGCCTCATACCAAGGATAATTTCCAAATAATTGAAGAAGGTACAATGTATTAAATGAAACCACGAAAAATTCAAAAGAAAACATGGGAAAGCTTAAAAAAAATAGGTTTTGGATCAGGGATGGCATTTTGAAATGACTTAAAATGTAAAACTCAGGGTTGTGGAATTTAGCTACATAAAATATAAAACATCTGCATTATAGAAAACAAAATAAGCAAGGACAAATGACAGCCTGTTAAAAATACTTGGAATTCATATTACAAATGAAGAACTGATGTCTTTAAAGAACTTAAAAGGAGATAAGAAAAAGACCAAAAAAATCCAACAGAAAAATGGGCTACTTTATAAAAGGAATTTTTTTCATCATTGAGTGTTTGCCTTTCATATATACTTGAACATATCTTGAAATGACATCTTATAAACTTGTAGTATAGTTTGTAATAGTGAAAGATTGGAAATAATTGAAGAATTCACTAGTGGAAATAATTGAAGAATTCACTAGTAATAGATGAGTTAAATTATGGAATATCTATGATATTCCACAGTGGAATATTGCACAGTTGTAAAAATAGCAAAGAAGCTCTTTATATACTGATATGGGAAGTCCTTCAGAAAATATTAGAAAACTACACAACAGTGTGAAACATGATTCTTTTTATGTAAAAAGTATTGCAGTTCATGGGGTTGTGAAGAGTTGACCACAACTTGGCTACTGAACAACATGGGCTTCCCTGGTGACTCAGTAAATAATCTCCCTGCAATGTGGGAGACCATGGTTTGATCCCTGGGTCAGGAAGATTCCCTGGAGAAGGGAATGGCTACCCATTCCAGTATTCTGGGGGCTTCCCTGGGGGCTCTCATGGTAAAGAATCTGCCTGCAATGTGGGAGAACCCTGCAATGCGCGAGACCCAGGTGTAAAGAGTAGGGTGGAGATGAAGGAATAAAGTTATTCTCCTATTTTTTACACAAAGAGTAGCATATTTGTACATTGCTTTTATACTTTGCTTTTTGTGGATATAGTCTTTAAGAAAAATATATGTTCTTTATGAATATATATTCTTTATTAAAAATTATGTATATGAATATATATATTCATAAAGTCTGAAAGAACATATAAAATGGGGAATTTAATGGGCAGACTGGAGACAGGGAAGGGAGGAAGATTTTTTGCTATATACCTATTGATACTTTTTTAGATTTTTGCATGGTAAAATTGTACATACTAAGAATTTTATCAGGCATTTTCATTTGGAAATCACCAAAACTCTACCTTCAGTAAACCTCTGTTCCGTTTTCACCACCAACATAGCTAACCCTGTTAGTGTTAGAAGTTCAGTTTCTTTATTTTCTGGGAATTCTGGGAATATTAGATTTATGTAAGCACTTAATAGACCATATAAACCAGATGAAACAGCTTTAATATTTTAAGGGGCTTTACAATCTAATATATTAATATGCTCGGAAGATAGGAAAGTATAACTCCCTATGATGACAGATACTAACTTTTATCACTTACAGACACATAGCCACCTTGTAGCTTCAGTTTTACAACTTAAACAGAACACCAAACTGACCACTTCAGGTGCGTCTCAGAGATGTTCTTCTCTTCAGTAGAATTTATATACGTTCTTTCACAAGCAGACATAAATAGACTAAAACCAGAAATAAACAGAAACAAAGGCTGTGGGGAATGAAAGAGAAAAGCAGAATTGTACTGCTGCTTGGAATTTACTCCAGAGATCAAGAAAAGACATGCTTGTGAGTAAGCAGCCCCTAAGGTCACTTCTCAAGCAATGTGTTTCTTGGACTTCTCTTGGAACTTTTACACTATCAAGTATAGTTTTTTATGTTATGAACAAGAATCTCAAAAAATAGAAAATGAGTCTGTGTCAGAATCAAATAATTTTTTAATGAGGGAAAAAGCAAGTTGGTAAAGTTTGTTCCCACAATTTAAAGAAAGTGGTGTTCTCTCTTTTTCCTTTGGATTGGAAATATCTAGGTCTGGACGTATCCTTTGGATTGTAGTCACTGGAAGGCTTTCTTAGAAATGGGAATTCTTATCACAGTCTTTCATGTTTTGGTCTCTAGGAAGATGAAGTCCTCAGTACATTCTGAAGAGGATGATTTTGTTCCAGAACTACACAGAAACGTTCACCCTCGAGAGCGGCCTGACTGGGAGGAAACACTTAGTGCAATGGTAAATCAGTTCTATGCATGTGTGTGTATGTATATTTTACTTACATAAAGAAAAGGAACAGAGGAAGCATTACTCACAAAAATAGTTTTTTGCCGTTGCTTTACTCATTTATTCAGGAAATACCTGTTGAGCAAATAATCTATTCAAGGCACTGTTCTAGACTCTCAGTCAGATCTGTGAATAAAACACACACATTTCCTGCCTTTATGGAGCTTATATTTTAATGAGGTAGGAGAAGTAGCAAATAATTACATGTTCAGTATGTCATGTGGTAGTACATGCCATTGTAGAAATAATGCAGAGTGGTGGGGTCGCAGAGTGGTGGAACGCAGTTTGAAGAAGGGTTGCTCGCTATATAGTATGGCAAGATGGCCTCTAGGGGAAGTTAAGATTGGAGCAGACACCTGAGGGGTGTGAGGGTGTGTGTTTACCTGGGAATAGATAATTTTAGGCAGTGGAAGAACAAGTTAAAGGCTGTGGCATAGAATTAAAAAGCAAGTTGGAAGAAACATGAGTAGGATGTGGCCAAAACTGAACTGGGAAAAGATGAGATCAGAGAAGTGGTTTCTTGTAGTCCATTATATGAGGACTTTGGTTTTTTATGCTGAGTAAGCTGGGAAAACATTGAATGATTTTTAGCCAAGAAGTGACATGATCTGGCTTAAAATTTTATAGGAAATCTCTCATTGCTGTGAGTAAGCTAAAGAAGGAGGCACAAGAGGAGGAGATAGGAGATCAGTTGGAAGATTGTTGTAATAGATGGACAATGATGGTAGCTTGAACCAGGCTGGTAGATGTAAAAAATGGCTAAACTCTGGATGTATCAATAGTTTCACAGATAAAGCCAACTTTTTTTTTTTTTAAAGCTAATGAATGAATGTAGAGAATGAGATAGAGATGTCAAGGATGACTTCAAGTTTTTTGACTGATCAACCTGAAGAATGGAGTTTACATTCACTGAGATACTGGAAAAGCAGTTTTTGTTTGTTAATAGTTAGGTGGAAAAATCCTTTGCAGTGTAGTTTTTCCCCATAAGTTTGAGTTATCCATTTAATCTTTTGTAACTTTTTGTAATTCATATCCATCAATAAGAACAATGAAATTTGTTTTGTGGAGAATAACATTTTACTTAATTAAAGTTAAAAGTTAGTGATTCTTATCCAAATTGAGGGCAAATGTTCATTTGTCATTGTAGGTTTGTGATAAGATTTTACATATTTTATTTTTGAAAATGCCTTTTCACTCAGCGATTGCCGAATACTTAACTTCAGTTTATTAGCATATGATTTTACTTGAGCATATTAATTGTTTATAAGGCATTTATAGAATTCTGTTAGTTTCTTCTCTTGATATTTTCCTTTTAGCATAATGTTCCATTGCAAATTTCTACTCTAATAGATGTGAAATAGTCTAGTCAAAACAAACAGGCCCCACACACCTCCCTATTGAGTCAAGTAATCCCTGGAGATCCCAGCATGCCATTGAAAGGCTATTCAATAAATTCTTTTGTCCATGTAAAAATCTTGCACAGTTTTCTTCTGTATTTTGATAAACTACATTGAGTTTATTGAATGGGAAGAAAGGTGATATTTGTTGTGCGGTAGTTCATTTACTCTATATTAAAATGTCATATGCTGTATACATGGAAAGTAACTGAATTCTGTTTCCTGGAGTTCCCATTGGTTTGTGTATGGAAATTACCATTTGTATCATATGTTTTTAGCATCTTTTATTTTTACATTGGTACTCTAATTTTTTTATGTGTAAACTTCTTGAAGGCAAGTGCTATAATTCTATGTTTTCTTTAAAAATGATTATGCTCAATAAATAGTACATTGCAGGGTTGCAAAAAGTATACAGTGAATGACGAAAGGATATAAATGAGATTTGAACTGCTATTTTACTACACTTTCTCTAGAAAGTTATATTAATTTTAATGAGGAAGTAAGAGTAAAGAAAGTTGGGAACCTTTTTCTCTTTCAGTAATAGTCTGTACTAAATATTATGTTGAGAATAAAGTTTATTATTAAGAGAAACCCATATAAATGTTTCTCCAAAACAATTTCATGTATTTAATGTTTTAGTAGCTTTAGAAATAAACATGTGTAAGTGTAGAACTTTTATTGATTTGTGTTGTGTGGCCTGAATATTAGTTTTTTAATACATATCTAAAAGAAAATCAGAGATTTCTGAATTAAGAATTTTAAAAATTTTGTAAATAATCATTTTTAAATTGAGATATAATTGTTATATTATGAATTAGTTTCAGGTATACAATATAATGTTTCTGTATATGTGTATATTGTGAAATGTTCACCATAAGTCTAGTTAACATCCATTACCAATACATAGCTGCAGATTTTTTTCTTGTGATGAGAACTTTTAAGATTTACTCATTTAGCAACTTTCAAATACACGATACTGTAAATTTTGTGTATTTACTATAGTAACCACACTGTACTTTATACACCAGGACTTACTTATTTAAATGGCTGAAGTTTGGACTCTTTGACTACCTGAATCCATTTTGCTTACCTACCTTTATAGCCACCAGTCTGTTCTCTGTATCTTTGGTTCAATTAAATTAATCATATTTTTAAAGCTTCCACATATAAGTGAGATCATATGGTATTAGTCTTTCTCTTTTTCACTTATTTCACTTAGCATAATGCCCTCAAGGTCCATTTATGTTGTCGTAAATGGTAAGATTTCTTTCTTTTTTATGGCTGAATAATATTCCTTTGTTGTATATATACCACATTTTCTTTATCCATTCATCAATCAGTGAATACTTAGGTTGCTTCCATTTTTTGGCTAATGTGAATAATTCTGCAGTGAACAAAGAGGTACAGATACTTTTTCAAATTCGGGTGTTCATTTTCTTAAGATAAATACACAGAAATGGAATTGCCAAATTATATGGTAGTTCCAGTTTTCATTTTTTGTGGAACCTCCATGATGTTTTCTGAAGTGGCTGCACCAGTTTGCATTTATACTACAAGTGCACAAAGGTACTGTTTTCTCTTTTCTCCACATTCTTGCTGATGCCTATTTTTTATCTTTTTGATAGTAACTGTTCTAACGGGTATGTCGTTTTGATTTGCATTTCCCTGATGGTTAGTGATGTTGAGTGCCCTTCCATGTATGTGTTAGCTGTTTGTAAGTCTTCTCTGGAAAAATGTCTATTCAGAGCCTGTGCCCATTTTTTTAATTGGATTTTTTTTTTTTTTTTGCTATTAAGTGAGTTCTTTTATATTTTGAATATTAATCTCAACAGATGTATGATTTGTAAAAATTTTCTCCCATTTTATAGGTTACCTTTTCATTTGGTTGATGGTTTCCTTTACTGTGCAGAAGCTTTTTGGTTTGATGTAGACTCACTTGTTTATTTTTGTTTCTCTTGCTTTTGCTTTTGTCAAATGCAAAAAATCATCTCCAGGACTGATGTCAAGGAGCATGCTACTATGTCTTTTCCTAGGAGTTTAATGGCTTCACATTTTATGTTCACGTTTTTAATCCTTTTGGGTTAGTTTTTATGTGTGTTATAAGATAGTGGTTCAGTTTTGTTCTTTTGCATGTGACTATTCAGTTTTCCTGACACCATTTGTGAATACACTGTCCTTTTCCCATTGTATACTCTTGATTTCTTTGTTGTATTTTATTGGCAGTATACAAGTGGATTGATTTCTGGGCTTTTTATATTTTTCCATTCATCTATGTGTCTGTTTTTATGTCATTGTCATACTGTTTTGATTACTGTAGCTTTATAATATAGTTTGAAATCAGGAAGCATGATGCTTCCAGCTTTGTCCTACTTTCTCAAGTTTACTTTGATTCTTCCCTGTCTTTTGTGATTCCATACAAATTTTAAAACTTTTATTTTTGTGAAAAATGCCTTTGGAATGTTGGTAAGGATTGCAGTGGATCTAAAGTTTGTTTTGAATACAGTAAGCATTTTAGCAGTATTAATTCTCCCGATCCATGAGCATCTTTCTTTTGTTTGTATCTTTTTTACTTTTTTTTCACCCATGTCTTACAGTTTTTAGTGTTCATGTCTTTTACCTCCTTGGTTAAGTAAGTTCCTGGGTATTCTTTTTATTCAATTTATTGAATCTCAGTTGTAAATGAAATTGTTTTAATTTCTCTGTTAGTTCACCATTAGTTTATAGAAATGGAACTGATTTTTGTATAGTGATTTTTGCATCATGAAGCTTTACCAAATTTATTAGTTCTAACAGTTGTGTGTGTGTGTGTGTGTGTGTGTGTGTGTATGTAGTCTTTAGGATTTTCTTTATATAATAATATCATGTCATATGTAAATAGTGATTGCAAAACTATCACTTTCCAGTTTGGTTGCCTTTTATTTCTTTTCCTTGCCTAATTGCTCTGGCTGGTGCTTCCAGTACTATGTTGAATAGATGTGGCAAGATGAGCATTGTTATCATATTCCTGATCTTAGAGGAAAAGTTTTTAACTTTTCATTGTTGAGTATGATGTTATCTGTGGCTGTGTCAGATTCAGCCTTTATTATGTTGAGATATATTTCCTCTGTACTTGGCTTTGTTGAGAGGTGTTTTTTTTTTAATATCATAAATGGATGTTGAATTTTGTCACATGTTTTTTGTCCCTCTATTGAGATATCATATGATTTTTTTATTCTTCGTTTTGTTAATATCATGTATCATGCTGATTGATTTGCAGATGTTGGACCAGGCTTGTATCCCTGGATTAAATCCCACTTGATCAAGGGTGTGTGATCCTTTTGGTGTATTGTTAAATTTGCTTTGCTAATTTTGTTTGCTAAATTTGCTTTAGCAATTTTAAAATTGCTTAATTTGTTGAGGCTTTTTCTATCAATGTTCACCAGAGATATTGGACTGTAATTTTCTTTTCTTGTTGAATCCTTGTTTCACTTTGGTATCAGTGTAACTCTGTACTTTTAAAATGAGTTTGGAAGAGTTTCCTCCTCTTTTATTTTTTGGTAGAATTCATTGGTTAAA